GTGGGAAAATAACAGTGGGACTTGCCTTAGTTCTTCTGTTTCAGCCACTGCCACACTTCCATCTAAATAGTTGTGGTTATTGTTATTTTCCATCATGTTAGCCCTGCCATATATGGTGATACTATGACCTCCTATTCCTCACCTCCAAGAACGTCTGTTATTATCAGCCCTGTCCAGGTCTTAGATACTCAAGGCTGTAGCTTCTTTGATTGAATCAAACCATCTGGAATGAACCTTCATCTTTGCTATTGCCTTCTGTTTTACTGAGGATTGGGACATCTGTAGGGATACCAAGATGCTTGTTTATAAAGCTATTGGCCTTCCAACACCATTCTACGCCTGCAAAACATGGACCATCTACAAAGGTCACTCTTGGCCTCTGGAATGATTCCATCAGCATTGTTTATTTAAAAAAATCCTGCAAATCTCTTTGAAAAAACAAGTGGATAAATGTCAGTATTCTGGAATAACCAAAGACCACCAAAGTGAAGCAATAATCCTCTGCTATCAACTTTGCTGGGCTGACCACGTCATTCCAATGTCTGATTACAATCTTCCAAGGCAGTTACTTTATTCTCAATTCAAGAAAAAATGTTGGTAAAGAACAAAAAACATTTAAGGGTGGGCTTAAACCCAATCTTTAAAAAATGTGGTATCAACACCAAGAACTAGAAAGCCCTGACACCTGAGTGTTGTAACTGGAGGTCAGCTGTTGCCAATGATGCCATGGATTTTGCAGAGGCATGAATGCAGAGTGAAAGGAAAAAATGTACCAAGAGGAAGACACATCAAGCAAACCCCTGTTGGTACCACCTTCTATCTGGAAATCTCAATGTGAAAGACCATGTGGATCCAGAATAGGCCTTCATAGTCATTTACAGATCTACTGACAAGATCTACAGTATCCTCTGGAAGATGTAAGTTATCACTCATGATACAGATAATTACTCTCTTTTCCATTAAGATATGTCACCGCATAATGTGTCCAAAATATAATAGCCACAATTTAGTTTGTGGCTTCTAGGGAAAGCTTAAGTTTGATTTGCTCTTCAACCCATTCATCTGTATTTTTGGCAGTCCCTAGAAGAACACATTTAAAATTAGATTAGTCTCTTCTAGACAGCTTTTTTCACTGTCCAGCTTTCATAAGCATTCACACTGAAATTGGAAATACTGTGGCATGGACGATCCTGATTTTGCTACTGAATGATACATCTTTACACCTGAGGATCCAGTACCTTAATAGCTTTCTCTTCAAGTCCTTTTCTTCTTCTGCTTTCCTGTGTATTGTCTCCATTTTGATTTATGACTAAGTCAAAGTCTTAAACAATGTTTTAACAATTTTAATGTCTTCAACATCTGTTTTAGGTGATGTAAATCAAGTGTGGCCTTTATTTATTTCCTCTTAATATTTAGCTGTAATCCTGCTTTTGATTTTAAACAGTTTCATTTCATAAAAACATCTGAGCACCTACCAGTATCATAGCACTGATTGCATATAGCATACTAAACAAAAATACTGTCTATTAAAAAAGATGATTTAACCATGGAAGAACTAACCTGTAGGCCTTTTATTAATTGGGAAATGTAAGTATCTTTTGCACTGATGAACTATCAGCACAAAGGACTTACAAGTTTGGCTGTATAGTTTAATAAAGAAAAATCTTGTGGCCTGATACAATGGCTACCAAAGTATGTGGGACTCTCTCCATTAAAATTAATGAGTTTCAGATTGGGCCCTCAAGCTGTTATTGATTTCTGTCAGCTCTCCCTTGTGCGCTGTTGACTGCTATACACCCATCTGTGCTACTTGCCTATTTTCTCTGGACTTGGTATTCAATCTATCCCATATCCTGTCACCACTCTTTCCTATGAGCTTTTCTATACTTGTAGCTTAGAGAAACTCAAAACTTGTATGATGCATGCACAATCTCTAGACCACAGATTTTTAAAATGTGGGTCCCGACAATGCAGAAAACGCATCAGCTATATTTCATTAAAAGGAAAATCAACTTGTTTAGCAAGTCTTTCAAATGCTTATTATCAGTAAATGTTTATTTTTATATCTATTTTATATACCTATATACCTGGGATCATGTAAACATTTCTTGGGCAGAAAGATGTGAGTGGAAAACATTTAAGAAGCCCTGCTCTAGATGGCCAAGAATCAGTTCTGGTTTCTTTATAGACCTTGCATAGCTCTTTAAATGCCATGGCAATATCTTGGGACTGATAATGTACGGTGGTGCCTTTAGAACCTCCAGCCAGAGAGCTCTAGTGCAGTGGTTCTCAACCTGTGGGTCCTCAGATGTTTTGGCCTTCAACTCCCAGAAAACCTAACAGCTAGTAAACTGGATGGGATTTCTGGAAGTTGTAGGCCAAAACACCTGCGGACCCACAGGCTGAGAACCACTGCTCCAGTGCTTCACCAAACTACAAACTCCAGGATTCTACAGGATTCAGCCATGTCAGTAAAAGTGGCTCTATGATTGTGTAAGGTGAAAGAGATCTCTGCATTACCAAATCAGCAAAGGTAGGCCCTCTAATACTAATGCTATACATAATTTAACTTTTTGTAATGGCATGCGAGTGTAGAGAACAAACCACAAACCACCTATTACAATGCAGTCTGTCCCTACCACATGCACAATGGAGGACTTCCTTACAACAACACCAAAGGCACTCCAAGTGGCCAGGTACTGGTCAAAGGACAGTTAATATAATGTCAAGTTTTTAAACTTTGTGTTTTTTAAATACATTACAACTGTACCCTTGGTTTGCTTCTGATATGATAAATAAATAAAAACAGGGGAATGTGAAATTGTTTAATATTCTTGTATTGGATCTCTACAAAAGCAGATAAGCAGTTTGTTAGAAAACAAATCTTCCTAAGTAGAAGTAAAGAAAAATGAGCTCAGAGAAAGGGACAAATTAAGTCCAGAGACGGAAATGATACCAACTTTGTTAAGGGTTACCATTTCGGTCACTCCTCATATAGGTATCATCTTACATTAGGGTAGAAATCACTCCTGTGAACAAATACAATTGCAAAATTGCAATGTCCAGTAACATAAAGAGACACTGAAGCTTACTTACAGATTATAGCTGCTATTCCAATACATATTTACTTTAGAGTTAGCTCCACTGCAAGGCTTGCTTCCACATACATATGCATGGGATTGTGCTGCACATCAGATTCAATTCAACACTGATTTTAAGACAAGCCTTATATCTTATCTGTATTTTCCTTTCTTTCCTTGCTAAAGAAAAATGCAATCCATCCACATAGGAATCTGTCTGTAAGATAACAAGGTTCCTATTTTTTGTTATGGGTATAACAAGGATTCACTCAGTCAAGCAAAGATTGCTTCTCTAATGATGACACACTTATTAAAAGACATAAATGCAGTGGTTATGTGGTACACTCTCGTCATCTCAAGGTAGTATTTAGCTTATCAGAGTGAAGGCAACTTAATACCATCTGTGTTGGGAAACATTCCCTACATCCTATTATGTAAATTACAACTCCCTGCCAATCAAAGCTTAGGAGATGGCATTACTGAGAAATAAGTGTGTGGTCATGGGTCAGTAGCTTGCATTCCAATTGGTGGCAAAAACTCAATTTCAGTGTAATTTAAAAAATTCTTGAACTTGTTAAAGCAGTAAGTGGAAACTGGTTCAATTTAAAACATGTCCTGCAAGTTACAGGTTAAATCACACTCAACAGTTAAATCATCCAAGTGAGTATCAATAACAGACTGATAAAGCAAATTATTCACCACCGCAAAGGAAATTAAAGGCAGATGCCCAGAAGGGGTCTAGGCAAGCCTGCCAAACACCAGAAGGTTTTTTGTAACCCAAGGATACCATAGAATGTGCTTGCTGAATTGGTAATTGTCCCAGGCTTTTTCAGGGAGAAAGCTCAATATGACACATATTCTTTTGACTTATTGGCAAGTGCCCCCAGGACCCTTCTAAATTAAGCCGTTGGTCCCATTGGGCTTTAATTTTCCTAATTATAAATTAATGTAACCGTAGGCATTCCCCTTGTCTTCAAGCTCAACATGGAGTGGGGTGAGGAGGTTTAATACAAAACAGTAATGAGCAATAAGCAACTCAAGTGAATATTATGGAATCTAGCCAAATATATGACTTCAATGTGCACAGTCATGTGATCAGCAAGGCAGTCACACAGGCTGAAAAGTGCATACACACAGTACAATTCACCCCAAGCCCTTACCATTGACTACCTAATGGCCTGCAAAATACCTGAGAGCATTCAAGAGTATAAATCAGGAATGGGGAGAATATTTGCACCCCAAGAGCCAAAATTCAATTTGGGAAGGATTTCAGAAGCTGTATTCCCACAGTAGACAGGATGCAATTTTAGACATGATTGCACTAAAGCCAAATAGATGGGACAAGATATAATTCTCACTGATTTCTTCGTTGCCCACCAAGCATACAAGCACAACTCAATTCTACATATGTTTATTGAAGAGGAAGTCCCAGTGTAATAGCTTTCAGGCTCAATTCAGTACATATCTATTCAGATATGTAATCTTCCTGGGCCGAAAAACACAGTCAATTCCAGAAATTGTTCTGAACCTGTGGATATTCCTATATCTCCAATCACTAATCAGAGATAATAACAAAAGATCTTTGTAGGCCAAAGGGTCTCTGTTCTAGAGCTAAAAGCTGAGATGAGGAATGGAGGAATGTAGCAACACCTCTGAAACACACCAGTTTATTTCAGCATGGAGTTGGAATAACAACAATAGGCATATTAGAGTTACAAGGTTGTGTGAGTAGGGCCAGAGTAAAATAGGACGCCAAAAGGGTCTAGCATGGCTGTCCTTTTGAAGATTTCAGTTCATAACATCAGACTGCTGCCTGTATCACAGAACAGAAGTATTTTTGTTAGTGAGTGAAGCAGATAAATAACCACAATACATTGCTGCTACGAATCACTTGCATAACGTACTTTAAAATGCACTTACCAGATTGAATGACTATGACAGAAGTCTAAAGCAGAAATGATTTGTCGAAAAAATTTCCTGGCTTCTTTTGGCGTTAATCTTCCTTTCTTTACAAGATAGTCAAAAAGTTCTCCACCAGATACATGTTCTAGCACCAAATATCTAAAGTGAGAAAGGAAACATGTTTTTTAAATATTAGATCAAGTATGCACAGAGGCAGCCCTAGATAATTTTCAATGGTAAGCAAACAGTATTTTGCTTCCCCCCCCCCCCGCCAACCAATCACTGATATATAGTTTCTGTTCGTGTGGGAGTTCTGTGTGCCATATTTGGTTCAATTCCATCATTGGTGGAGTTCAGAATGCTCTTTGATTGTAGGCGAACTATACATCCCAGTAACTACAATGTCAAGGTCTATTTTCCCCCAAGAGCGCCTCAAGAGCGCCCCTGGGCAAAATCAACTATACTGCAAATGCTTACTTTGCGTAATGGGTTGAGCCGCCCTTGTGTGGTAAATAAATATAAGCATATGTGTCAGGGCTCGGTTTCCTGGCCTTGGACATTGGCGCAAAAAACCAGAATCCTGACATGGAGAGCCGATAAGAGTATGCAGCTGGTGGCCTTGGGAGGAGCAGTTGGGGGTTGGCGGGGAACATTGAGCGGGAACTACGGTCGGCGGGAAAAGGGGATTCGAATATGGGGGAGGGTATATAAGGGTTAACTTGAGACTGTGTGCCAATCCTGGCTTTCGTTGTGTATGCATATCCAGTAGTAAAAGTTTCCTGATTGATTACGGATCGGCATCCTGTGTCATTCTTGGGGCGGCTGCTGGGAGCTTACATTAAGCCAGGATTGCTCGGTGCCATCCCACGGCTGTGGTGAGGCACCCCCATGCAGGGAGAGGAGGACCTAACAGAAAATCCAACGGGAGGGAGAGAACCAGACTCCCCTTTCGAGAATGCGGAAGAAGAGCTGGAGAGAGTAAATGCCTTGGCTTCATCGACTGCATATGCCCAGCCCAACGGAGTCACCCAGAGACGAGTGAAGGGGGCAGCGGCGGCAGCGCGAGAAAGCAGTGGGCTAGACTTTCCCTCCCCACAGAGATTGGACTATCTGGAGGAGAAATTGGCTTCCATGGAAACCACCCTCGCGATGATGTCGAGGGTGATGGAGAGATTGGCCCCGTTGTTAGAGGAGCCACCACCCCGAGGAGACTCGATGTGGAGCGCGGGGGAGAGGAGTGACCGGGAACCCGGGGCACGATCTAAAACGCAGGCGAATTGGAGAGCCGTGGCGGAGAGTGATGAGGAGGAAGAGCAACCACGGGGACTGGCGGCGGCGTCCCAGCAGACATCCCTGGTGCCCCCGGCAGGGGCCGGGCGTGGCACAGGGCGACGTGAATTGCCACCGGAGCGGCACGAGCTCCCAGGAGGGCCACCCCGAGCGGAGAGCCGGGAGAGGCAACCCCTTCCTTACCAACCCAGGAGGGAGGAGCTGAGGATTGAATTCGGAGGAGAAGCCGGGAGCCTCGCATACTTCCTGACCATGGTGAGAGGGTATCTGGAGGATAACGCCCTTACCTTCGGATCGGAAGCAAGCCGAGTGCGGGCGGTGGGTGCGGCGCTGGACGGAACATCCACACGGTCTTAATGAATACAATTCATACAGTTGCTATATATAACCTTGAGATTGTTTGTATTATCCCTTGTATACTACACATCCCTGGGGATTACATTACTCAAAACGCCATCTAGTGGTGACTTTCTCTACACCTATAACTTTAAATGTGCCTTTAATTAACTTCTCTGTCCCCTCTACATCTGATGTGCATTTTCCTCTTTAAATAGAGGTAATTCTTAGATCTTGCTCATACTCGCAATTAGAATCAAACTTAGAAGCAGAGTATCTTGTGAGTATACACCTATTTGGTGATACATATTGGTAAAACATTTATTTTGATATATGTAACGCTTAAATGTTAATAGCCATAATTTGTTCCTTTTACCTAGATCCCATTGCAAAAAAATTTAAGTATCTCTTATGAGAACATATGTAAAAGACTGAACTTTGTAAGTATTTCTAAATGCATTTTATTTCATTATGTTCAACCTATACAATTGTAAAATGTATTTATGTATGTAAAATTACAGACCACCCGAAGAAGGCCTAAGCAAAGGCCGAAACCGGTCGTGGGAGGCTGATGCATGAACATACAACGACATCACTAAAAGACTATACAGAACTTATTGCATATTGCTTGATTTTGTGACCACTGTGAATTGAACAGTCCTAGTTTCACAATTTACCTATTTGTTGGACTTATTCATTACTGTTATCTTTATAAGTGGATTACTGGTGTTTTACCTGTTTACTAAGGAACCCATCCATATTGTATTGTTCCAAAGCATTGCTTTGTTATGGCAGAATGGCTACAGGAATTAAGTTTTGATGATAAATTTAAGGAATCTTTAATTAAAAACAGATCACTTTTTGAAACTGGGGGATCCAACCCCAGTAACTTCAATAGGGAGACGAATATAAGGGAGTATGAAAAGTTGAAACGTAGAGAAATTAGGCTGGACTTGCATGCAACTACACTGGCGGAATACATTAGAGCCAATAGAATACCCAGGGGATTACGCATTTTTAAACCCCCAGGGATGTTTCAAGATGATGAGTCCTTTCATCAAAAATGGGTGGCAATTCTCAACAAATGTTCACAGGACTTGATGCTCCTGCTAATTGCACGTTCAAACGAGGAAATTGCCATCGTAAAAACTCAGTCTCTAGATGTGCTAGAGAAACTCAACTCTGACGCACAGTTTGAAATTGATTTGGATACCCTCACGAGTAAACTTAAGGAATTTTCCACACAACTTAGGTCTTTTAAACTGAAAAAGTTTGAGAGGGATGAAAATGACTATAAGAACAACAAAGTTTACCAGTGGCTATACTCCAAACACTACCACTCCAGAAAACAAGTAAGATTTAGTGAATTCACTTCTGAAGAAGACACAGGTTCTATGTCGGATAGTTCAGGACATAGTGGGGCTTCATATAGGAGGGACAACAGCCACATACCTAGACGTACGGGTCGTTTCAGAAATAAACCTAATCGTTTTTTTCAAGAGGCTCTGAATGTGAAACGGAAAACTTAATAGTGAACTTATCCAACAGAGTTTTAACCCCTCAGGAAGAGCATGTCATTAATAAAGGACTAACATTTGTCCCTAAACCCAAATTCAACCCATTTAAGATGCGTATAGAATTAGCTAGGCTATTCCGTACCATTAGATTAAGACAGCACTTTGGGACTGCAATAAACAGCACTATTTCCACCTTCAAACCTCGTAGTAACTTTTTTCCTAGCACAGACCATATAGGACTTAGAGTTTTTGAAAAAACAATATGTGAGGAACTCTGTCACACATTCACAAAAAATAGAGGGACACATAGTACAAACTTCTCTAACAGTGAGTGGAACACGCTTCGTAGTTTAGCCAATGACAAAAACCTCATT